GAATGTTAATAAAATGTTTGAACAAAAGAAAGTGTGAATATAAGAGTTAAAATAAAGTTAAAGTAAATGAATAATTATCTCTCGTTCAGGACTATATCATTATAGATTAGTTGTATTGAGCAATAAATGCTCAACAAGAACGCACTTCTCAAATTATATATTGGCAAGATAGTAGTAAGTTTGACGAAACAATTGCCAATGAGAAGATAACAAAAATACAGGTTTTAGCAGTACACGTACATACAGTACTAGATAGTTCTACCTAAAGAAGAAATATTTGGTAGTAGCGACTAGTCATGAGATCATTCCATCTCTGGTAAATGGTACTTAAGGAAACATTGCATGGAGGGGACAAAGCACAAATGCAGATTGCATTTCCCACAAATAACGGTTGTTTTTCCTTCAGTGCAGTATTTACACCTTCCTTGTGGGAAGTGATAGGAGGGCCAGTGATCTTGGCGATCATATCGAAGGTTATTACTTGGCCTAGGACACCTAGTCAGCTTGATTTGTTTAGAGATTTTAGGCCCCGTTTCATACCTTGCTGAACCAGAATATCTGAGGTGCTTTGACACCTCTAACTTAAACATTTTCAAGTTTTTGTAAACAATTCTCTTGCCAAGGATTGTAGCGTGTCTTTTATAATAAAGCCATGAATTTACAACAGCCAGGTCCATCATATACGCAAATACACTGAGATCTACGGGCTTTTGTGGGTGATCTGAGAATCTCAACAAGCATGTCACTGAGATCAACTCCTCCCATTTTGTTGTTGTATAGCTGAATGACATGTGGTATGGGAACATTAATACGCCTTTTAGATGCCTTATCATATCTGAAAAAAGAGTAAAGTGTCATCAAAAGATATACCTTTCGATGCAATTGTAAAAAATAATTTAATGAAAAGTAAGAAAACTGACCTCTTAGCAGTGCCCTCTGGTCCAGCTCCCGATAAACTAGATACTAAGTGTACTATTTTGTTGTCCATCCACTTAGTGACTTGGACTCCATCAGAACTTTTGAAGTCATAGGCCCCTCGGCCTTTTGATTTTAATTCTTTATCAGAAATCAGTGGGCAATGATCAATACGGTTGTTCCTCACTGTCCCCGTTGATAACAAATGCATATTATCCTTCAGGTGTCTAACCAGTTTAACACTGGCAAAATAGTTATCAAAGAAGACACTCTTGTTTGCAGGATCATGAATACTCCTTGCAAGGCTTAGGACTACTTTGGCTCCAACACCCAAGGCTTCTTCTTCGGGACTGAATTCAATGCCTCGAAAAGTTTCGGAACCAGCATATGGTAAAAAGTCATAGACAATACCCGATGTGCCAGCCAAGTTGAAAATTTTTATTCCAAACCTGTGAGGTTTGTTTCTGATAAACTGGCGTAAGGCCCAAGCAAACTTCCCTTTGTAAGGGACCATAGTCTCATCAATTGAATAGTATTTTTCCTGATCAAGATCATTGCATTTCTTTTTCATGTGATCCAGAATGAGGCCTACTTTGGCAAATCTATCACCAGCTGGGAGAAATGCCTCTTGAGATTTGTCAAAAAAATGTAAGTGACTTCTTATTTTTTGAAAGCGATTGAATGACATTATACTGGCAACTTGATTAACCAAGGTGTCAGCAGCCCAGAAATCTCTAATTCCAGGTAAGGTATTTACTCCCATATACATCCACACTCCAAGAAACTGTTGTAATTCAGTCTTGGTCAAATTCAAATTCCTCTCACTACCATCCTTCCAGATACTATAAGAGTTGGAGTAAGTAACAATACTCTCGAGAAGACTGTCATCAAAAAAATACTGGAAATATGCATATGGATCTCTCAAGTCTTCATCTGGTGCAGGGATGGTGACTGGTTCCTGATTAGGGACAACAATTTCTTCACGAACCCAATGATTTGTTTCATTGGATGACTCGGCCAAGTTGTTTTTGTTACGCTTAGGTGCAAGCATCTTTGACCATTTGGACCGCAATGCTGTTTTGGGTAAGGTGACCTTTACTTGCTCGTCCTCACTAGAAGCACCTGAACTGATGACAGATTCTACTGTATCACAATTATTTATAATTGCAGGATCATCAACATTCCATTCTACTTCGTCTTCAGTTTCTTCAAGAACTTCATCCTCATCCTCATCAGAGGTGACAGTGTAGAGATTCTTTGCACTGACCTGCATCAAGCAAATCTAAGTTATAAAATTGACCAACAACAGAATACGCGAAATGAAATCTGCCTCTTTACATACTACCTTCTTGGGTCGAAGAGTCCGGCCTGTGCTGTTGTTGGAACTAGCGCTTACATTATGCAAGGAGCTATTGTTGTCCTAGAAGTAAAAATTAGAATGAAAATATTAAAGATATCAAAACAACAGGATTTAAGAATAATTATTTATCTTACATGATTCATGCCTAAGAGAGAACATTTTTGAGGAACATCTGATTTTCCTTTTACAGACAAATCTAATGAGCAGTCTGACTCGTACAGTACATCTGAGATGTTACAGTAGATGGACGATTCCTCTGTCTGGGTGCTGATGGTTAAGTCTAAGATATCAACATCTTCCTTATTGCTTTATTGCTTCTCTAGAACCTGAATTAATAAACAAAAATAAAATGTGAACCAATAAGATACAAATATTCCAGTGTTATAAAATAGAGAACACAGAACACACCTTTGATTTCCGTTTAGGAGTAGAGGTTGGCAAAGCAAATTTAAATGGTTCACATGAAATAAAGTGTTCTCTGCTACTTTCAACATTGCAGTTTTCTTGTCGCTAGAATTTAAAAAAAATAATAGAAAAATGTCTTGTATCAAATTGTTTGAGAGTGGAACATTTTTAGCTTACTAATTTGCATACCCTTTTGGCTGTTTCAGCATCAACTGAGGGTGGAGTACTGATCCCGATAGGATGAATTAGATTCTAAGAGGGATAAAAATATAAATTACTGCAATACAAACCAAAGGGAATGAGAAATTAAAAATTTAACTGTCCACAAAATACTTTCTTGAAGTTTGTTTAGTTGTTTTGTAACTGAAAATGGAGAATATGGTTGAGATTGCCCATTGCACTTTGACTGCTTAATATGTTCAGGACTGCGGCTCTTTTCATCCATGTGTTCAGTAACAACTGAACACGAAGAAGTCTTCTTCTTTGAAGGACTCAGATTCTAAGAGATAGAGAGAGAAAATTAAGGAAAATCAAAGAAGGGACAATATAGAAAATAAAGTTGTTGACAAAATGCTTACTATAGATTTGTTCAGTTGTTTTGGAACTGAAACTGAAGAATGTGTTTGAGGTTGCCCATTGCAATTTGACTGCTCAATATGTTTAGCACAGCGGCTCTTGTCATCTATGCTTTCAGTAACAATTAAACACGAAGAAGTGTTTGTCTTTGGTGAAATCAGATCCTGATAGAGAGAGATAGAGAGAATATCAAGGAAGATCAAAGCAGGGAGTAGATAAAAATAAAGTTCTTGACAAAATGCTTACCTGATGTTTGTTGTTTTTAAAACTGAGCCTGAAGTATTGTTTGTCTTTAGTACCTTTGGCATCGAAGAAATATAAAAGAAAACAAAATCTGTAGAAGGACAAAACCAGCAACAAGGGAGAGAAAGTAGTAATAACAGGGAGGGAAATTCTTTAAAAATAGATAGGGTATTAAGATTAATAGGTTTATTTACCTTAGGAATTGCTCCAGTGTTGTTCAATCTGGATGCTACAGCTGGTTTCCCAACATTTTTTCAAAATCTGGACTGGCTTCATGCTTAGAGCTTTAGGAATCGCTCCAGTATTGTTGAAACTTGGGGCAACAGTAGGGGCTACAGTTTTAAAAATCTGAGCTGGCTTCTTGTTTGCGGCTTTAGGAATCGCTCCAGTTTTGTTCAAATTCGATTCAACAGTTTGTTTCTCAACCTTTTTCAAAATCTGGACTGGCTTCTTGTTAAGGACTTTAGGAATCGCTCCAGACTTGTTCAATTTAGAAACAGACGGTTCCTCAATTTTTTTAAAAAAATTTAACTGCTTTTGTAGAAACTGTTACTTTTTTAACAGGTGCCTTATTATTTTGGACCTAGAATCAAAGGGGACAGTAAAATGTAATTACCTCAAGCAAGAAATAGTGGTATAGTGATCAATGAAGATAAAGGTATCCATACCATCAAATTTTTTTGTACAATGGCAAGATTTTCATCATCACTACTACTATCTTGTGGCTTCTGGGTCAAGCCAGTTTGACCCTTAGATTTCACATTACTTTGGACTGCTTTTCTTGCATTCTTAGCTCCCTGCAATGAGAATAAAATATTTAGGTGAGAGGAAGATTTAGAGTATTTAACTAAGAACAAAAAATTTAATATACTTACCTTCTTTTGTGTACCGATGTTGTCACTCTAAGATAAAAATAATAATATCAGACAAGAGAAAAACCAAAAGCAAAGTACAAAAGGATGTTTTTAAATCAAATAGAAGTCATAAAATAAATATGTTTACCTTTTTTGATATTTTATCAGTAACTTATTTTGCCAAAACAATTTCTCGGCGTTTTCACGCTCATCGAAGCTGAGTCCGCAAAGTCTAGGTAGAAGATCTAGCAGTTTTTCTTCCCAACGCGGCGTGTACGCTTCCCAAATCATGTGTGCTCCAGTTGTTTTGAAAAAAAAAAAAAGTGGCTGATAACCTGAACGTAATGTTTGTTTGATAGTTTTCAGCTGGTTTTCATAGGGGAAAGCACTGAATGACTCAAGAGCGCCGTTCTGACGGCACTCATCAGCCAAGTAAGAGAGTGAACATTGTACACCACAAAGTGATTTCCAAAAATCTGTGCACTATACTGAACAAAAGTCTTCAAAATTTCTTCTGCTTGGTCAACCCAGTTGGGCAACAAATAAGGACTAGCTAAAATATAAATCCCACAATGCAGTAATAAAAACATCTTATAGATACAGGGATTCAATTTGTCCTTGAAGGCAACAACACCATCATACATGAGAAGACGGCGCAGTTCAGTGGCTTTATACTTATAATAGTCTGCTATCTTCCGAGGTTTCCTGTTACAGTCCCTCGGACAGGTGCTAATTAAACTCTCGAGAAACACAGATATATCTTCAATTGTACCTGCCTCAAGATTCCACTCTCCTTCCCATGTGAAAGTTGCTTCCAGAAATCTTAAAAACACACCCTTGTACACGAGATGGAGACTGTCGAAACGAAAACTGGAGACTAAGCCAATGTTCAAAAGACTAAGGGGTGATATACCTACATGATGAAATCTGTCTGTCCTGTCATTGAAATCTTCATCCATACGTTTTCGACAGTCTGCAGGTACATTTGCATAATTAACTCTATTTTCAGAGTACTCACCAACTACACAACATTTCTCACAGGCTCCATACCCACCATGACCTATACAACATTTCACGAGTGATCTGGCAGGGGCATCTAGAGTAAAATTGTTTGTTTCTACAGGTACATTAACACCATTATGGTCATACCCTTGACGCGCTAACTCATCCAGTTCAACAACTAAATCTCCTAAAAAGGTATCAACGTCTCTGGGATCTTTAGCACCGCAATAAATTGCTATCACAAATGGCTCATTGACACTGTTCACAAGTTTTCCAAGAATTGGCCGAAATTTTTTACAGCTTGAATCTTTGCTGAGTGGTAGACCATCCATGATAATATCTATCTTGATAGACCTATATTTTTGAATATACTCATCTAGTTTCATTTGCCTTAAATTATTTTTTATTCCCTTATACCACATTTTAAAATCTTCACCAGTGTGAAGTTCGACACTTGAAGTGGTCCTAAGTAAAGTTTTGTAAGATTTTGGTATGGTTTTAAAAACATACGAAGTTTTACCCAATAGTTCATCAATCTTACTCCGAGAGAACTCCACCACTTGTAGCCCATTCTTGCAAGGATTTTTTCAAATAGGCTTCTTTTTCTTCAGCTGTCAAGTTTGCATTGTCGCCCTCATCTGAGCTGTCATTAATGTTGACATTATCACCTGCCACTTGTTGGTCATCCGATTCACTGTCGTTGACATGTTCCGGCATCTCTTGATCAAGTTCCGCCTCTTCATCTACTCTTTCACCTTCCCTTTCTTCATTATCATGAGGCTGAATTCTTTCTTCATTGTTAATATCAGGTTCAACTCTATCATCATCACTTTCTTCTGCCCTTTCATCTGATGAACTGATGTTCCCACTACTACTTGAGTCACTCGAATCACGCTGACATTGGCGGCCCAAAGCTCCGCGGACTTGCTGTCTAAGCTCATCTACAGCAAGGACCCGATCTGCCCTTGGCTCTGCCCGTCGTTGGACTCGACGCCTCACTGAATCTGGTTTCTGAACATGATAGATAGATCTCACATCTCACAAACCTAACCTGTCACGAGCCGGCCGGTGCGGAATGGGAAGTCACTCAAGCCTCAATCGGTTTGGAAAATTCTACACACAAAGAATAGAGCTTAAGTAACTATAAAGTCAAAAGAACCAAAAGAAATACTTACTGGGAGATTTTCTGCCATTTTTTAGGAACTCAAACACATTTCCTTTCGTTTTACTAAGTTTCCATGCTGCTTTTCTGTACCGGAAATGAAATGAAAACAACTACTTGGATCAAAAAGACGACCTTACGAACATGGAGATTTTGATCGATATTCTTTTTCACGTTAGTTTCAAACGCTCAATTGATATAATTTTTAAAAATTTTAACAGCGCATTTTAAATTAATTTGTTGAAACCGCCGAAAAAAACAACCAAACGAGCGAAAGTACATGACAAATGGGGCGCCAAATTTGAATCAGGTAACGAGAGCCAAGCGAACATTACATTACTGTCAATCCACCTTGCGTCAGTTAGATCAGAGACAACTTCATAACTTCGATTTGACCAAAGTTTCGATGGTTTTGGCATCTAAACGAAGCCAACATCGAATCGACGTCGAATCGACGTTGGCAACTTCAACATGCCGTAAGCCAACTATTTTGACATGTTTGTATTTTCGAACTATAATATAGGAATGAAATATGAATTTGGGTAGTTTTTATGTAATTTTATTCAAACATCGAAATTCCATCGAATTTTTTGATGTGTCGACTGACGATGACCTATCGACAACATCGACGTCGACTCGACGTCGATTCGACGATCCATTTCTGACTGGGCTCAGACCCTCCCCTGAATCCTTGACCTGTGTCGTCTCAACCATTGTAGGCTTACATCATGGCTGGTTGGGTTACTACACTACATAGCCGCGAGATACGCATGTTGTTGGCAGTGCCGGGAACCGAACCCCGGCCATGCCAACTCAGCGCTCACGCTTCGTTCGTAACTCACTTGGCCATTGGAACCTGATGCGAGTGAACGTCCGTTCAGGCCATCCCAATGCAGCTTTTGTCTCTGCCTCTGCCTGCCGCTCGCCGCCTCGCCATTGGCCCCCTCCTCCCTGCCCAGGTCCCTCTCCTTGGCGGGCGCGTAGGCGGGGGAGGCGGGTGCGGCTCCGAGCCAGCTCCACCAAGCAGGTACAGGCATCCTGGCGCGCTGGCGGCCAGGCAGAGACGGGAATGGGGTGGGGGGCGTCAACAGCTATGTCTCCCAAGCCGCATTGTATTCCGGCTACCCTAACACTGCACGGCCCAGCCCCGTTTGCCCCACTCGCCACGCTGTGCACTCACTGCTGGCCGGCCGGCCGGTGATCACCAACTGGCGATGGTCGGGCCAGACAGTACTCCAGTCTTTGCTAAGCGCGCTGCGAGCCTTTGAGGTACACGACCTCAGCTGCATTTTGAGGCCGGAACTCGAAATTTGTGGAGCCGAAGGTCCGACCAAAGTGGAAGGGTATTTTCCCTTCTCCGCGACCTCCGCCATTTTGCTCTGTGACCCTTAGATTAGGCGTCGCGACCCTTCAAAGTTCAAAATTTTGCTGCCTTTCACCGTTATTAGGAGCAAAACTGAAAGTCGCGCAGCTTTCAAACTTTGAAATACACTAGTATTGTACCTAGCCTAATGCTTCTCGTATTTTAAAGATTTCAGTGTGTTCGGGATGCTCCCTAGAACTTCC